ATTCCAAAGAAGGGTGACCCAACTGAGTGTGGAAACTACAGAACAATATCATTGATTTCACATGCAAGCAAGATTCTACTGAAGATTATCCAAAAACAACTGGAACAGCACATCAGCAGAGAATTGCCAGAAGTCCAGGCTGGGTTTAGAAGGGATCGTGGTACTAAGGATATTGTGGCTAATGTTAGATGGATCTTGGCTGAAAGCAGGGAATGCCAGAGGAATGTCTATTCCATATTTCATTGATTATGCAAAGGCATTTGACTGTGCTGATCATAACAAACTGTGGCTGACTCTGAGAAGAATGGGAATCCTAGAACACTTGATCGTGCTAATGAGAAACCTATACTTGGATCAAGTGGCAGTCATCAGAACAGAGCAAGGAAACACTGCATGGTTCAAAATTGGGAAAGGTGTACACCAGGGATGTGTCCTGTCTCCATACCTTTTCAACCTTTATGCAGAACAAATTATCTGGGAGGCTGGGCTCTATGAGGAGAAGTGTAGGGTCAGGATTAGTGGAAGATACAGCAACAATCTGTGTTATGCAGATGACACAACCCTGCTTGCTGAAACTGAGGAGAACCTGTAGCCCTTGCTGCAGAGGGTCAAGGACTGCAGCCTTCATATGGATTAAAGGTCAATGTCAAGAAGACAAGGATTCTCTCCACTGGACCAATTGGCACCATCAGGATGGATGGCGAAGAGATTGAGATTGTTCACAGCTTGGCTCCACAGTGAACACTCTTGACAGCAGCAGCCAGGAAATTAAGAGACGTATTATGATGGGAAACTCTGTTATTAGTGATCTCTCCAGAGTACTGAAGAGCAATGGTGTCACTCTGGAGACAAAGGTGCACCTGATAACAGGTCATGGTCTTTGTAATCACTTGCTGTGCATCAGAGAGCTGGACAATAACAAGGGACGATAGTAGCAGAATTGATGCCTTTGAGCTGTGGTGCTGGAGAAACGTGTTGAATGTACTAAAGACTGCTAAGAAAACAAACAGGTTCATCCTGGAGAGAGACAAACCGGGCTGCTCCTTGGAGGCAAGGATTCTGAGGCTTTGTCTGACATACTTTGGACATGTTGTAAGGAGGGACTGGTCCTTGAAGAGGGACATCATGCTTGGTAGGGTGGAGGGACAGTGCAGGAGGGGAAAATCCTCTATGAGGTGAATTGATTCAGTGACTGAGGTAATCAGGGTGGGTGTGTCAGAGACAGTGCAATTGGCACAGGACAGATCAAGGTTTAGGGCTGTTGTACATAGTCGCAAGTGACTCGATGGCACATAACAACAACAAACAACATAATACAGTTCTATTTTGAGCATCTATGTTTATGGCTTGCATTTTCCATAACATCCTTCCAACTTTAAAATCCTACTTATAGGCAGACAGTATGTGCTTAATAAGAATTTGCTGAATAAGTGGATGTATTGTCAATATTGAGGAGTTGTCAGAAATAAAGGAGAAACTGGAAAATACGACTCATGTCATTAAGTTGTGGTTGTGGAAGTACTATGGAAAATGTTGGAAAACAAAGACTGCTCATCCTCTCCTTTGGTGACTCAATATTACAAACATTTTGCCTCCAGTTCTCCTGGAACCACATGATTTAACTTAAACTGGAGGTGGGGCTCGGGGAGGGGAGAGTGCTGGGGTGTGCAAGTCAGTTAGAGAGGTCTATGAAGAAGATCTACAAGCCTGTAGATCTGGTTGTCTAAGTCTGCACGTTGACTAGGTGCTTGCGAGCCACTGAAGGCTTCAGAAGCACTTGGATCTTGATGAACAACTTACAGCTCTGGGAGCTCAGTCAACTAGTCGGCAGAATAGAAAGATGAAGATGAATTTTCCTCTAAGGTAATGATTATTGAAAAAGGAGAAATAAACCAAACAGCTAAAATTCACAGGTCTTGGTAGTGGAAAACAAAGATGGGTCACGGGAGCTGATCCTGACACTACAGACAAGGGCCTACCACCATTAGCTGAGGGAGAAAAGAAATGATCCTAGGAAAGTTCTGGTGTCTAGTGGATAGGGAGTTGTATTGTGAACCCCAAAGCAGTGCCTCCATAAAAAGATAGACAACCTCCTCCCATGTGATTTCCAAAAAAGCCATCAGAGGGTGAGCTGAGGCTACCGTGACTCAACAGGAATGAATGAGAGTGAGTGAGGCAGGCATGCACTCAGCAGTGCACAGTCTGTGCAAATGATTCCGCACTCCATGCTTTTACCAGCGTTTGTGAATGATTGATTTTCTGTTAACAAGTGGGTGCTTTCAATACTATCTTTAAACTAGAGACAATCTTACTCATTTATATTCCAATCTATTTGCCTTCACTGGGAGCAAATAGGGGTTGGGTTTACAACCAACAGGATGGACACTGTGTGTAATGTCTGCCTATCTATGCAGTGGCAGACCTGATTGAGAAAAATTACTTATTGATAACAGGAAGCCCTGGGAATCTAGTGGGAAGAAACTGTTGCAATCCCAAAGGCATGTGGTTCACCTCTGAAAACTCACTGGAAGGTGAGCTATGGGTCAGTTCTGGCTCAATGGAGCACAACAACACTCACTGGTAACAGTCATTCAAAGCCAAGCAAAACAACATCATAAACGCAAACAGTGAAAAGCTAACAGAAAAGCCAACTTTCTTGAAGCTCTTCCACCATCAATCACCTTCTTGTACAATAACACTACTGGGAATGTGTCCCAATGTAAATGTCAGCTTTCATGTGTCTCAAGAGAGACAATGATTGGAAAACAGCTCCCCCAGAAGACATGCTTGTGTCACCTCCACCTATACTGTGCTGTCTGCTGCCTTCCCTAAGCCTGCCAGCAGAAAACCACCACCTCCAGCAGGATTGCTTCCTGTTTTCTTTTCCTTTTAATCATCTTTTAATGTTACTCTTCTTTTGCTATTTACAGTCCATCCTTTTAGAATCTGTCAGGGCACCCGAACAGTGGGGTTTGACAGGAACCGACAGAGTGGGGGTTCCCACTGGGGATGGAAAGGAAACAAGTTTTGGATGAAGTAAGAGTTCTGTTTTTGTTTTTTTTTTTGGGGGGGGAGGGTATTGGGAAAAGTTTTCAATTAGCAATAATCGCGCCTCGGATAAACCTCACTGGCTACGATATTGCCACTGCGCAAAGCTAAGAGTTCTGTTTTTTCAAAGCCAAGTGAGTGAATGTTAGTGAAGGGTTTGTGCAGGGGAATACTGAGAGCTGAGGATGTAAATGCCAGAAGTAATGAGAAGTAAATCATCAATCCCAGAATGCAGGGTTGGTCATCCATTCTGCAGGTAAAAGCTTGCAAAGTTAAACAAAATCATCAAACCTCCACTGTACTGTTTATCAGCTCAGTAAAGACAGCCAGAGTTAACAAATAGTTCCACCGTCAATGTATGTAAGGAATATTTTTGGTTTCTAACCTTAGTGATGTTAATCTATAAAGATTTATTTTGCTGTGTTTATCTCCTTCCTAATTGTTACAAGAGCAAAAGATCTCTTTCCAACTTTAGTTTCCAAGCAATTTAGGTTATAGTAATATTTTTAAGTCATGCTTATCAACAAACTTGGCTTTCACTGTCCTTGATACTTTCAGTTGCCCTGATGACTCACCAAAGAGCTGCCTCCAGGATCTGCCACGCTCCCCTTTTCATCTGGGGGCCCATCTGACAGAGTAATACCGCTGAGAGATGCATCATGGGGCTAAATGGAGAAATAAAAGCACCATTTGTATTCTAGGACACACTTTCTAATATGCTTGTTTGTTCTGCTGTGTATACACATTTACATACCTTTTGCTCTTTAAGGATCTTTTCTGCAAAGTTGAATGAATATACTTAATATTTATAAATCATGCAATATTTTTTATCTACTTTTTAAAAATCTATAATTTGTTATCTTGTTTTACCACATTTTAAAAGTCTTACATATATATTATTTTATGAAAAAGAATGTGCTTTGAGAATAAATGCACTAAAAGAAGTAGTGCTAGAAACTCAGGTCAAGATGGCTGACAAACATGTACTTCTCCCCTCCCTTCTCCAAATCACTAAAATTAACTGACAGGATATTTAAGGAACAGATTTTAACAGCAACAAAACCTGGCAAATAATTTCACAGCAGACCAACTGGTAGATATTTCTAGAAGAAAAGTGAGAAATGGTTTCAATTCTCTTGGAGTCCAGCTCTCTGAGTGAACAGAGTTGAGGTAGTCTACCCATGCCATTTGTCTGGCGGAGTCCTTCTGAACCTTGAGACCCTAAGGCTCTAAATAATCTTTAAAGTTCCCTTTAAGTCTCACTGTACAACTACCAGTTTGTTGTGCAGTTTTGACTTCTTGTTGCTGTGATAGTCTCTGACAATTATCCCCTCCCATCAAGGAAGGGAAATTCTATAAAATCCACTACTTTCCCCCCACCCCCACAATCCCAATCACTGTTGAAATTAGGAGCAGGAGTATACATGAAGTTGTAAAACTAAGAGAAAAAGAAATGACATTAGGTGTACCAAGGGAAGGGGAAAAATAACTGTGGATGGGAGAGCAAGCAGAGACTAGAGTGAGAAAATGGCCATGATAGAACTTTAGCAAATCAATCTTTCACTGACACAAAGCAATGAAGGGTGGACTTTTATCCTCAGACTTTGCCCTTCTCTGGAAAACTGAGTTTGAATCCACTAGCTAGGAAAGAAGGAGGGGAATTGGCCACCTTGGATTAAACTATTAAACAGAGTAAGGTATCCCATGTTCATTGGAACAGTAACTAAATCTCAGGACATCTGTTGCTGCTCCACCACGTAGACCAGGTAGAACCAGTACTCTCATGAGAATCTCAAAGAATTAGAGAAAAAGTTTAAACGCAATGAACAGATAAAAAAGAACTGATCACAATCATTGGTTTTTCTAGATATCTATTTGTTTTTACAGAGTATATAGTTATGTATGACTTTAGTTATTAAATCTGAGCTCTGCTTTGTATTAAATTTTGTCCCCCAAAAAGATACGTTCAAGTCCTAAGTGCTGTTATCTGGTAATATGACCTTCTTTGAAAACAGACTGTTGCTATTTGAAGATGGTATTAGTTAAGTAGGTGAAGCCTTCTGAAAGTCTCTTACAGAAGGGGAGAAAGAGAAAGGGAGATGTGGGGGAATGGGAAATATTTCAGGTTAAAATACAATTACAAGCTACAAAGGAACGTCAAGAAACTCTGGGGCTAAGAGAAGTTCACAAAGATAAGGAATGATCTTGCCAGAGTGAACATAAAGAGCGTGGTCCTGCTGATTCCTGAGTTTGGATATTCAGACTTCAAAGGTGTGAGTCATTGCAATTCTGCTTACACCCACTTAGTGGTGTTTCATTTATTATAGCAGCCCTAGGAAACTAAGACAGTTTCTAGTTCTTGTTGAATGTCTTTCTTTACAAATTGATGAACAGTAGGTTGGTATATTGACAGCTGTACCAAGATTCTTACAATTCTAATAATCTTAATTGTACTGTGTTTGTTTCTTTGTTTTCAAGTTTTGCACAATTTTGCTGAGGAAATGACTTCTTATACCCCACCCACAGCTGCTTTGCTGGAACTTACCGTGGGAGCACTTGTTTTGACAATAGTTGGCATCTCTTTTACTTCTCGTGCATTATCCAACTGAGTAGTATCATTGTCATAAGTATTATCTGGCTAATGAGAGAAATGAAAGTCACTTTTAATTAGATATGTTTTTCCAAACATGATTGTGGATATGCTACATTATAATACATGTTCAGAAGAGTGGTGATATTGTGTCTACCTATTTCTCGATTATAGATATTATCAGGATGCTCATATTATTTTGATCTTCATAAACACAGTGCTAATATAAATTAAACTCAGAAGCACATACTGCTTCTGCCTACCAAAACCTACTTTTGTTTTATTTAGATGTGAATATAATTATTTTACACCAAGAGGAGTATGTATAACTGAAGAAAATCCAACTGTGGGCATGAATAATCCATAACAAGTGAGGTTTCTCCTTAGTGGCAGTTCCAGGATGGAAAAGGAATGGAGTGGCTGTGTGGACTAAGCCATCTGGTCTCAAGCTCATTCACTGCTATCAAATTGAAATTGACTCATAGCTGACTCTGCAGCAGAAGCTGTAAATTGCATGGGAGGGGATAGCCAACTTTCCCCAGAGGAGCAGCTGGTGGATTTGAATCATCCAGCTTTGGGTTGGCAGTGCAACTCCATACCAGACAGACAGGTCACCATTAGGCCCATATATCAAAGACAGAAGAGAGAAAAGATAAGATGAAAAGTTGGTAGATGTATTACACAGCAGTCCTGGACTTCCTCCCTGCAATTCTTGAAATCATGTAACATATTCAGAAAAAGACATGGTTTTAAAATTAAGCTTTTTAATTGCATTTTACAGTGATTTATAAATCAATAAGAGAATAACCAGCTTTGGATTTTGTTTGGTCTTAAAATTAGAAATACATAAGAAATGTAATTATTAAGCTGAAGAGTATGGTTACTCCTCTTTTAAACCTTTTAAAAAAATCTCAGATAAATAGTAAAAGCAAAGATTAAAATGTATTAAAAAGTATAGGAAAACGTGTTTTTAATCTCAGAGAAAATCTTTATCTGCCACAAGGATCTCACAAAACCATAAATGAAAAGACAAATAGAATTAAAAAGACAAATAGAATTGACTACTTATTTTCAAAGCAATTTTTTTAAACTTTTTGGTTGTTTATCTTTTCATTCACATTATGTTTCATACCATCATTCTCATACATTGTGTCTTACAAAATAAATCACCATTGATCTATGCCCACTCTTACCTTGTCTTCTCAGATCTCCATTGGATATTTCCTAATTCCTTCATCAGCCTCTTGCCACCCATCAAACTCTGCAAGTTCATGATTTTCCCCCACCCCACCCTCAGCTCTCCTGATCCCTCTTCTTCCCTTTCCGGCTATCCATACACTTTATCCTTCTGTTTTTAAAATAATAGTCTTATGTAGTATCTGTCCTTATGAATCTGAATTAATTGACTCAGCATAATGTTCTCGAGATTCTCCCCTGTCATATAATATTTTTCAAAACTGTTGCTCCTGAGTTCTGTATTATATAGTATTATATCATGTATTTTATGTATTTTAGTCTTCCCAATCTCCAACCAACTTTTAAAACCCCAAGTGCTTCATGAGGTCATTCATCATTCTTTCCAGTGTTCCTGTTTAAACATTCCATCTGCCCTCACCAAAACAAAAGCACCCATCTTACAGAATTCAGCGCTTCCCCAATATCTGACCAACTTTTTTTTAAAAATTAATTTTAATGAAAGTTTACAAAGACTTAGGGTTTTCATTCATTCATTGTTAGACTTTGAAGAAACATTCTTCTAAGTCATACAGCACTCTTCTGTCAATTTGCTGTACGGAGAAAATCTGGGTTTGTTGTGATGCTGAACCTTGTGCCACTGGGTGTCAAATGTCATAACAGTTGCCCATGGTGGACAGTGTTTGGCGGAGCTCCCAGTTTTTATTGTTTTTTTTCTAACATACTTTTTTTTTTTAATTTAGGTTGTTTATTTTTCATTTCAATGAACATCTACAGAGATTTTGGAATTCCATTCATTCATTGTTGCACC